CATTCATTTTTGCGGCACACAGCCAAAAATTCAGGGTCGGATACCGTCAGTTACTAAGAGGAACGGATGTTTTACTGTTAGCAGAATGATAGAAATTTGGAAAACTCTGTCATACAAACTAAAAAATCAAATGTGCGTGTGTGTTTTTACATTAAATTCGAAAATGTCCCGCCACGAAGCGATTCAAGTCAGAGATCTAAAAATTCTTCTTAATATCCAACAAAAATAGAAGAAAAAAATGATATCGTTATTCTGACGAAAGAGGAAAGCATTTCTTTCGTTTTACCCCCGGAAGCGTCGTTGTGTGAGGTCCGAAAAATTCGCTTATTGCTGGTTTGATAAGAGTCATTTCCAAGGCAGTGCTGGATGGTCCATTGAAGCACCCTATTTAACAATGGAACCTAGCCCTAACAAAATAGCTGCGACGCAATATAGGGGCCTAATTCTCGAGGTTTTAAAGAGGTTACGAGGCTACTGTCCCCCAGTGGTGTGGTCTACGTCTCCCTCTTCTTAGTCACTGAATTTGTCACATATCTCAGTAAATACTGTTGAATCAGACAATAGCTTCTTGAACTCATTTTTTGGGGGATAAATCAAACTTAACAAAATTGTATGAAACCAATTGTAATATCTCAATAGACCAATAACAACATGTTGATGTTTTTAAGCGTCTTGATTTTATTTGATCACTTAAAAGAGCTCTTAACATCACTTTTATGAAGGCTATAATTAGGCTCATACGTGTAAGCAAACTAGACAGCTGTATAAGGGATAACACGTTTGTGGCATTCTACTCTAACACTGGTTAAGCTATTATGAATATAAATTATTATGACAACAGAATCTTTTGCAGGCCCAGTTTGTACCCCATCCATTTCACATTGAACCAGCATACAGTGTAATGTAATATTTACATTGTCTTTATTGCTTATGACACACTCTGCACTGTGTAAGGTAATCTCAGACAGTCTTGGATCCTGGATTCCATGTTGTGGATTCCTGATTCCAGATACAGAAATCCTGATTCCACACATACAGTGGATTCTGGATTCTAGGTACAGTGTACCGTACTGGACTTTGGATGCCTTGTCAGTAGACCTTAGATCCAGATAAAATTTTTTAGCCAGAATTCCAGATTCCTTGTGATAAATTCCGGATTCCAAAACCCAGGATTCCGGAATCCAACAGCAAAAATTTCCCAGATTCCATAATCCGGATTACCTTACATAAGATAATACACTGTACATTGCACATTAGCATATCTTGCCTAAAAAAGTATGGTGATAATATTTTAAACAAAATCAGTGCTTGTCATTTGATGCTACAATATGCACATGTACAACCTAGATCGTTTTTCCAAGTCCTATAATAACTTTATTGACTACATGTATTAATGCATGAACAGAGGTGAAACAAAAGTTTTACCCTTCTTGATGACTTCTTTAATACAGTGCATAATTTAGTTAAGAGAATTGATGGACACCAATCTTGCTCTTCTTTCTGCTTCCATCTGCTTCACACGGCTCCACAACTCAGGTGTCAAAGAACTCTGCCCACAGCTCAGTGACATCAGACGTGAAAGCAGCAATAAAAGATGAAAGTCCTCAGCTGTCATGTTATTCTGGTTCTGCTGCCTGCTCTTAACAAAATCATCCTGAAGAACCCTCTGCATCTCAGGCGACAATGAGTACTCAGCCAACCGTGCCATGCCTAGGAAGGCTCGCATTTGTTGCATGGTATCTGCTGAGATGCTGTTTAGAACTCTTTGGGCATTCTCCGGAGGACTGCATGGTCTTAGGACCAGATGACAATCAGAGGGCAGCAGTGATTTGCCTTCTGAGAGAATCATTACAAGTAGGTTGGTTTTGAACTCTAACTTGTTGTAACTGAAGTCATACTCCAGTTTCTGCCATGAAATGACATTTTCCAAGGCTTTAACATTCTTCACACCATTTTCGTTTAGTTGCCCAGCTTCCAAAGCAGTCTCATCAACAATCAAGTTTGTCCTTTCTGACATCTGAAGGATGCCGCTGGTTAACCGATTTGCTGTGTAGTTCTTTTTTGGGACAAAGTTCAAACTGTTCATGTTGTTCAAAGTCATGGACAGAAAATGACATTTGGGCACCAACTGTTCCATCAGTTGGTGCATCTCTTGTGGAAATGACTGCAAAGGTGGACACCCACTGACATTTAGTGCAAATTTTCCAACTGTTATTATTTCTGTCCAGTTGTACACAGAGGAAACCAGATGGAGAAGAATATACTCTGCCGCCAACGAATCTCCATACGCAACCTTTGTAAGCAAGGACAACAACTCTTTTCTCATTTCAGCTAGATTGGTGTGTGACACATCACTGATGGCATCAGGGAGACATGGATTAGAGTGAGTCAAACGGTGAAAAGTTAAGCAGTGGAGTCGCGGAACAAGCGATGGTGGGGGATGGTGGACGGCTTGTTCTTCAGGGGTGGTCAAATCATCAGGGGTGAGGACTGCTGTATCTTGCACACCCTCCATGTGTTGATCAAACACAGCAAGACCGGGATCAACAGACAGAATGCCAATGAACTCAATCATCTCATTAACCTTGAATGTGCTTTCTTGATCATATAAATGAACTAAGCAAGCTGGACCCTGCTCATTGGGAAGGGGGAAATTCAGATCCATGCTTAGACAGCTGGAGGGAATGTTACTGTTGCCTGATGTGTCGATGGCTTTGGCCCTTTTAGTAGCCTCATCTTTATTGACAGCATCATCAACTTGCTGGCCTAAAGCAAAAGACAACAAAACAAGGAAACATTAACATTAATGATTTTAAGACAGACCTAATTGGTGCTGTTTGAAATAGTTACAGTCATATTGTAGCGAAAGCTGAATCCCTATGGTTGTCAAAGACAACAAACACAATACAGGGTTTGTACTTTTTCCAGACTTTTTCCAAAACAATAATTTTTTTTCCAGACTCAAGGCTATCGAAATAATAACGGGTGATCAATAGAGAGCTTAAAAAAATGAAGGAACAAAGCTTTTTCCATGATGTGCTACAAACATATAGGTGAGATTAAAATATTAATAAGATTCGACCAGCATGAAAAAAAATTCATTTGTAAAGTACTTATAGAACGTGTTACTTTAAAAACCTCAAGACTTTTTACCTTTTTTTCAAGACTGTCTTTATCTCTATTTTCCAGACTTTTTCCAGGTCTAGAAAACTGCTTGGCAAATTTCAGGGCTTTTTCAAGAATTCAAGACTCTGTATGAACCCTTACAATATTTTAATTGGGGTTGAATGCAAGTGTATCTTAAATTGAATTACATGGTATATGTAGGTGGTTATTAACCTAACAAAAGAATGTACAATCAAAGGAAACAGTACATTATTTTTAATTCCTACATGTACACACTATATAGTACAAGTGTGCTCACAGCAAGACATTGGGGAGGGTATGCCGTTAATAACTAGTTTGTGTTTGGCCTGCACACAAAAAAGCCATCTTTCCTTGTTCCTTGCTGGTAGAGATGTTTTGCCAGGAGGCAGAAGAAATCCACAGTAAGATTTCCATACAGCCCTATACAATGACCATCAGGCATAGATGTTTTTACTCTATTCATACATTCTATTTGCCATTGTGTGAAATGGAGCGACATTGCTAAGTGATTTTGTTACCTCTGCTGCGCCCTGTGTCCCTGATGCATATAAATCCCCAAAGACACAAAATAATTGTGGCATGCTTCCCGCAGGATGTTCGATTGATTGATCAATATTGTAGAATATCCTGTTTGTGTGCTTTCTGTGGCTGTTCTTGTGGCTGTTGTTAAACGACACTTACGTCTTTTAGTCTTTGTTGTGCTTTACAATAGAAGGAGTATATTATTACTTCTTTACACTGTAACACAGAGTTTTGGGACTCACTGTTTTTTGAACTGTGACTCAATGGTTCTGGACTGGGACACATATTTTTTCACAAGATGAGTCCCAGGACACGCCATAAACTATTTGTAGCGAAATCACTGACTGCTGCATGCATAATGTACTGTATAGGGTTACACTTGTATATGGAAATCTTACCACTTATTAAACAAAGTTAAGGCCCCAAGGTACTGTCCCTTCACCTAGTAATTATCTTACGGACAGAAAGCAAGTATTAATAAAGGAAAATAGATTAAAATTAAATAATTAATTAATGAGTAGGGTTTGTTTCAGGGCTAAACTCCCCCTTCTCAACATTACCGCTCAATCAAATACCTTAAACCGTTATGCAAAGAGAAATTAGTACTTAAAGAAATAAAATACAAGATCTTAAAGATATTTACCGTTCTGATATGTTGTACCCTGCTCCATTTCCTCCTCAAGTCCCCTCTTTATTCCTGCATTATTCTGCTGCATTACCCGTTGAGACTGCACGCCAAAAGGCACGTTTTCCGCCGCGAACATTTTCTTGGCCCATTCAGTTTCTCCTGGGATTGGAACACAGTAAAAAACCTGCCTCTCTTTGGTGACATTTTGCGGTGACTCCAATCGTAGCTCGAAATTTTCTGGACAGCTGACCATGTCTTGATACATTCCGCACCGCATACTTGACGAATTATTTGATTTGTCCACGGTTTCATAAGTAGCGAGGAAGAATTCGGGATCGAACATATCCTGAACCATGCAGCGGAATCTGACCAAACTCTTAGATTTTAGCAAATGACTTGGAGTGTCATTAAGCGAAGGAACTCGTCGGAGAGCTTCACTGCTTTGCAATCGACTTGAAAAGAACTCGCGAACGCGCTCATGGTCGACTTTGCCTGCCTCTTTGAATATTCCCTCCGCTACAGTTAACGGGTTTGTAAGCCAATCTTCTATGCAAGGCATGATAAATGAATGTTTTGACACAGAACACGGTTGTAAATCTCTTCAAACACTTCGCGAGCAACCCTCGTGGTCAGTTTTCCCGGGAAAATTACAACTTATTACGCATGACACAAGGCTTTTTACTGGCCAATTGTTTGCAGGCTCAGATTATCCCCCGCTTGACTCCGCCATCTTGAATTTGGGTTGACGTTTGAAGAGAATTGAACTCTTGCGAAAGAACTATTGCTCACTTGGCCTGAAAATGTTTGCTGATACTATCCTTATCTTATTTATTTCAGTAGCCACTGCTCTTCTTTCTGAAGGTATGTGAAGCTTTTATGAAATTAAAAGGTTGCTAGCTAATTTTTGCTTTAGCATGGAAAGTTTTTCCAGGGCGTTACAAATCGATAATTTCGATACTCCATAAAAATCGATAGTAATCGATAAAATTAATATCAATCAATCGACCAATATCGCAAATCGTTAAAAATCGATCACACTCATTCTTCACAGGAAAAAATAACGGATTCCCATTTTTGGATATTTTAGGGTATTTAAAGAGTACCCACAAAAATCCCAAATTTGGAAGAGTTAGACAAGTCCCAATGAGGGAATTTGGTTGGGAATTCCCTGGTTGGGACTTGTCTCACTTTGCCAAATTTGAGATTTTAATGGGTATTCTTTAAATACCCTAAAATATCCAAAAATTGGGATCCGTTATTTTTTCCTGTGCTTGTGATTTTGTTCGATTTCTATCGATTTCATCGATTGGGCTATTGCATTTACATGTAATATCCATACCTCCCCCCCCCTTTTCTTCTTACCCATGAAGATTGGCTAAAATTGCATTCACCCCTGAAGACTTCCATAAAATATGGTTTTACCCCCTGCAGAATTAGTTCATATCCCTGAAGAATTTCTTAAAAATTAAGGCTTCACCCCCAAAGAATTCCATATTTTTTTACTCTACCCCTAATTCCATGGTTCCTCAACAGGGAAGGGGGGGGGGGTGCAGATATAGAATGCAAGAGCCTATTCTACCGATTTGAATAAAGAACTATTGAAACGTTTAGAGCTTTGTATTTTGAAGCTCAAACATTACACAGCTGCGGTTTGTGTGGGGATTCAATCATCCCTATAGTTTCTAATTTCTTTTGACCTCTTTCAAGAACCTCTACTAATGATGTAGCACCCGGCTACGTTCATAGGAAAAAAGATGAAAAATAGAACCAAAAGAAATCCATAATTGTTTGATTCCCCACCTACAGTACCTGTTGTATTTATGCAGCAACTTGAAATCTTAGTGACAGCCGTGGGAATGACGACTTAAACACAGTCTGAAAGTAACAGAATTTTACTGTTAAACAATAATCAGAATCTGGCAGAACACGATACCACATGATGCAAATCCTGTGCAATCTTACCTCAATCTAAAGCTTTAGAAAAGTGAAATTACAATCATTTGATTAGAGCCATAAACGTCTTGATAAATGCAAAATATTCACACAATTCTGTCCACACTTTCTCGCTTATCCTGGCCTACATTGTATGTTAAGAAATTTATCATAAAAAACAGCAACTCTGTTGAACTCAATGCAACAAGTTAGTCATGCAGGCTAAGTAAAAAAAAACAGATAAGGACAGGGAGGCCGGGACATGTGACCTGACCTGACAAATCTCGTGCTCGCAATCCCTGCATGGCTTACAACTGGAGTTGAGGAAAACGTGCTAAACCTTGTTTAAACTAATAGAGCACAACTGACTTTGACAATTTCTGTCTTCTGTCTTTTACAACGGACTTCTGTTTCCAAAACTCTGCAAAACGAGAATGAGCTGAGTACCAGCTGAGACTCGTGCCATTGATCAGCGTTGATAACCTGTGAACACACCAATGACCTTGAAAACGAACAAAAAAGTTACCAGTAACAGGCAGTTGCAAGGTTGAAAGGTGAACAAGCTACAATGGTAATGACCTGGGACACTCTCTCTTTCAACAATTTATTATTTGTTTTTACTTATGTAAACTCATTATATTAATCGATTCTTATCCAATTATATCATTTTTATCAATTTATCAATTAGCTTTTCGATGATCGATTTCGATTGGTTTGTAATGCCCTGGTTTTTCACTTCAAAAAAGTACAGTGTAGTGTACTGAACACTAACTTTAATAAAATGACCTAAGGTTTAGCCATGTAAGGTTTTTCAGTACGTAATTATATTACATTGCTTCCAATATATCCCATACATGTATTTCATTCTCTGGGTGGATTTTGTTCAGGATCACAGGCCTACCATCCGTGTGAGCTGTTTCAGGCAGCGTTATGTCACGTGGGCTAGCGGTCTAATACATGAAATTAGTGTGCTTCTTCTAAACTGCGAGCAACAGCAAGTTGGCTAACAATAAAACAACCAATAATTATAACAATGAAAAAAGACTGACGGATAGCCAATAACATTGCAATTTAATTTAACAATCAGGCCCCAGTTGTTCAAAAGCTAGATAGCACTATCCACTGGATAAAATTAAATATTAGGGAAACCAATGGCATTATCCAGTGGATAGAGAGATATGTGGCTAGCCTATCCACCTTTTGAACAACTGGGGCCAGTTTGACTCAAAGATTGTCTATTGCAAGAGTTGTCAAACCAAAAATCATTGTCATTTAAGGGACTGTTTCACGGTTCTGCACATGTGTGAGTTGTGACAGGAGCTGGTTGTTTTTAAACCAATCGTCACCACTCTCCGCCGCTGACATGAACATACATGTACAATATATTTTACACTCATGTATGGAATAGATAATGGTACCCTCCTTAAAAAAGTTATTGATTTTGTCTTAACATTGTACATGTAGCCCTGATTTTCTTTTTTCATTGTTATTACTATTCTTTTTCCAAGGAATCACCTATTTGCTAGTGTACAGAACAGATAAGTACAAAAAGTTAACTGCAGAGGTGGAGAAGGACAGTAAGAGATGTAAGTCACACTTTGTGATATTTTTTTTTCTTGTTTACATGTAAAGTCATGTAGGGGTTCACTTGAATTCTGGTTGGTAAGGTTTAGGAAGGCTTAAAAAATTATCAGGCAACAAAAAAAGCTCCGAACCCTCAAGTTGCCTAGCCTTAGAGTTATGTGCAAAACCAAGATTTCTTTGTTTGTTGTAAGAACAGTAGTTTTCATGATCATACAAATGTATTGTTTGCAAGTAAATTTAGTACTTCCATAACCGTGGGTATCCAAGGATTTTTTTTTGCATGGCAATCAAGTGTAGCATTTTTGGGTTGGCCATAGGCCAACATGTCTTTGGCTGAAGGCGGCTTGAGCGGTACCTCTGGTACTCAGGGTAATAGTGAGTTCTAAAGTGATGAGTCGTCACAAAAATTAAATTTTTAAAATTATGGGATTTGTTGGGATATTTTGAAAACACAAAATCCAAAAGGCCTGCTTGCCAAAAATTATCATTCCATGGCAAATTGTCTTGGAGATACTAGTCCCATTTTGCCCTGATGACTCCATACAAATCCTTCTAAATTTGACTTGGTTCCTAATGTTATGAACTGAGTCAAACTTAGAAGGATTTGTATGGAGTCATCAGAACATAACTGGGCTAATACAGCTGTATCTGAAGGACAATTTGCACTTGAATGTTAATTTTTGGAAAGTGGGCCTTTTGGATGTTGTTCTGTCATAATACTTTGAAAAATCCCATAATTTCACAAATTTAATTTCTTATGACATCACACTTTAAGACTCTATAGAAGTGCTAGTATAGTATTTCCCATAAATATGTATATGTATGTACATGTAGGAATCCCATTTTGAAATGAGATAAATGGCAGAGTGCAGGTGGAATACATGTACACTGTACATGTACAGTCGACTCCCGATAACTTGAACCCTCGCTAACTCGAACCTGGCACTCAAAATTTGATTTCCCTTGCATTTCCTTCATACATTTGCGGCATATAATCCCTATAATTCTATCCGAAAATAGAAATATTCAGAAGGTCATGAACTTCTGTTGGTGGAATGTGACCACTTGAGACAGTGAATTTTTCAGACCATCCAAGACCAAAACTGGTGATATTTATATTATTAGTGCATGTAAATGTACTTTATTTGATGCTGCTGTGAGCAGTGATCTTTATCCAGATATTGTCCAGATTTTAGAAGGAGTATGCGGCAACTTTGTGTGTACTCATTTTTCAAACGGAAGAGGATCGAAACCCTCACACTTCAATTGGTTGCTTTTTAAGTACATGTAGCTAGTAGGAAAATAAGAATTTCAAATCACTGTGATGGGCTCTCTCTAATAATGTACAAGATCAAAGCTCAGTCTGACAGAATAACTGTACCATTCTCACCACAAGACTAATTTTGCTCCTATAATAAAATTGCAACTGAACACAAAGCTAACCCTACAACTTGTAAGGTTTATATAGAGAACCAAAACGGTTACCATGGTCTTGCCTGATCAGAAAGTGGCATGTATTTGTAACTGAACAGTCGGAAGCTCTGAAGCTATAAAATTCAAAAGTGTTACCAAAGAAGGAATTACATAAAATTGTGCTCCACTCCAAAGACTCGCATTATCTACAAAAAAGTGAAGGGTATCAGTCGTTAAGTTTCTTCATAGTTGGTTAGCTGGCATAACCTCGAGTTTAAGCTATAATTCCTTCTTTTAAATGTGAACCTGCCGATTACTCTTCTGGAGAATTCTACATCCTGCAAGCATCTCACCGGAAATCAATATGTTTAAAACAGACCAGTTTCAGGTCCTCTTAATGTGAGAGAAGCTTCACAGCATCAGCTACCCACCAGGAAGCAAACAGGAGGTTAAAGTTGTGTAGGCCCACTAATTTCACTGCTGCATCGTACATGTTGAAAAAATTCGAACAGTTGCAAACACGAGAACAGTATTTTCACTGTACTTCTTCAGGGTCAGTGTGTGTGTATTAATCTAGGTACATTTTTTTGCTGGCTCAAAGTTAGTGACCTTAATCTGTATAAGTGTTCACAATGTTGGACTAAAATTTATTATGTTCCTTACCTTCTGCAGAGGTGCAAAACTGGCAATGGGATTATGCTTTAAAAAATCCTTATATTTTCCCTAGATTATTTTACCATTTTCCCTATATTGACCCCAAATTTTTAAAAATCGCCTCTATATTAAGCCCCATATTTTTGCTTGAAGCCAGCCAAAGCCCTGGTCCAATTTTCAAATACAATGTTTAGTGCTTAGCTGATTAATCAAGGTTTTTGCTTTTATTTTTTTAAATATCAATATATATGTTGTAGTTAAAATTTTTCCTCTGGTAATTTTTCTTTTTCTTTTGTTTCAACTTCATTAGCATACATTTCCATACCCAAAACAAAAGAAAAGGGAAAATTACCTGAGATAAAAAATTAACTACAGTACAATGTATATCTTGCTGCCCTTGAAGTGAATTGTACATGATACTTGCATTCCTCCCCTATGCCATTTCCTAACTTGTGTTTTTTTGCTTCAAATTCCCGTTAACTTGAACTGTTTTTGAATTCCTCGGAAGGCTTGAGTTATCAAGAGTCGACTGAATGTTTATACATGTAGAATCCTCGATTACATTGTCGTTTTCTTCATCAGTGTTAGTGAACAGTGTTCTTTTTATGTTACTTTTCTTAGTGGAGAAAAGAAAAGAAACTATATCAGACCTTCCAAGACAAGGTGGACAGAAAAAGAAAATGGGTAAGAACTATTACAATACAAGTATTTTAAATATATTATATTATGTGATAAACTTTTTCTGAAACTGTCACACATGTACCATGCATCATGGGGGGCAGTGGAGTGGTTGCCGCTAGACTTTTATATAAGTGATGTTTATACTGAGTTGTGTGGATATAGAATTTAAATGTGTACAACTTGGAGTGTACACTGTACTCACCTCTACCCCTCTGGGGTTTGGGAAGAGGGAGGGTGGAGGGTGGACCGGTGCAGGTTGGAAATTGCCGTACAATGCAGTCATGTACAGAAACCTGTAACCCCCAATAAGATTTTGTTGTGTGTATATCATCTTAGTCATGTGTCAGATGTGTGTCCAAACCAGTAACTTTGTTACAAAATTTAACACCATGTTCATTCGCCTATAAGCCGAGCGATTTTTACACAGATTAAAGCTAATGTTTAGTGAAATTTGAGCCCAAGAGGGAGTCTCTGCTTATAGCCAAGAGTTTTTGTAAAAATCTTTTTTAGTACATTAAACTTCTACTAAAATGGGTATGTATTCACTTAAAAGCCGAGCAAATAGCAGCAAAATATCAAATCGATGCCATTAGGAGAGTTGATCAAACTGTTAAAATGCTTTGAAAAGCCGTTCATCAGCCATTATTTTTTGCCTGTTTAACAGAAAAGTGTTAGTGTACATTTTCCTGGGGAAGGTCACATTTTTAGGTTTTACTGTAGCTAAAAGTCTTGTAACAAATGGGTCTCGGCTTATAGTAGCATGTTTGCGATTTATTTTTCATTCTTGGTTATGCTGATTCTACTCATTTTCATCTGTAAAGTTTAGGGTCTCAGCATATAGCCAAGATCAGCTTATAGCCAAATAAATATAGTAGTTATGGCGACTCCTCGGACACATCTTGAGAAAAATCATGAGTACCAGTCCAGAATCGTTGAGTCCCAGTTCAAACTTACGAGTCTCCGGGTCATTATGTAACCCACAGTTAATCTGAAGACAGTTTCCAAAACTCTGTATACTCCTTCTATTGTCAACACAACAAGACTAAAAGAAATATGTGTTGTTAAACAACAGCCAGAAGAACAGCCATAGAAATCACTCAAACAGGATATTCACCAAAAATATTTTCATATCAGCCACAAATTATATGCTTCTCTGGGGATTTTTATGCATCAGGAAAGCAGGATGCAGGATGCAGAGGTAACAAAATCACTGCCAATCAAATGTCTGATTTACGTGTTTTGTTGTTTTTATTTTCTGTTTGTTAGAAAGAGTTGAAGAAAAGCTGAAAAACCACAACAGAGACCTCTCAATGGTAAATGTTGAGCATAAGATCCTGCAGCAACAATCTTTTACTCTGTAGTGTGTCAGTAGAATCTGCCACACATGAAAATGATGTGATTGCCTTTAATATTCCAGTTGTGCATGAAAATGCTTTTGAATCAAACTGTACTATTTTGAGGTAACATTAGTGGGGAATGTAACTATTGCTTTGTTACAATGAAAATTTTAAAAAAGTAAAAAAAAAAAAAATAACAAAATGTCAATGTTATGTTGTTGTTGTTGTTATTTTTGTTGTTGTTGTTATTATTATTATTATTTTCATTTTACAGTTTATTTAGGTGTATTGTCATACATGTAACTTGAAATAATACTAATGCCTGAACATACCTTATTTCCTGCTTAGGTTAAAATGAAGTCCATATTTGCTATTGGCTTTACTTTTACTGCCCTTATTGGCATGTTTAACTCCATGTAAGTGCCTACACTGAAGTGTAGTTTCCCATTATTTATGTCAAACCTGATAATGCAAGACTGTGTGTTTTTTGAACGACTTCAAAACCTGTGATGAGTGAGTTGATCTATATCAACTCATTTTTGCACTGATATTTAGATTTGGGGTTATTTTGGTGTAAAAAATTGGAAGTAAAGTTTAGCTGTGTCTTTATCACATATAAAGACACTCGTTAAACTTTAATTTTTTTTCTTTTTTGAATTATTAATGAGTTTTTGAAAGTTATTCACAGTTAGTTAACCCTTTAAGCCCTGAGAGTAATCAAAAGAGAAACGAGATCACACAAGATGAATTTGATTGATATTTTGATAACCTCTCCCTAATACAGTAGTTCCAAAGGAGACGTATACATGTAGGGGCTGTAAATGACAATTTCAGTTCTGATATTAGGGTTTAAAGGGTCAATGTCATTTGTATCTTTTATGATGCAATATACAGACCTGTACATGTAAATATTACATCTAAATTTATTTCACAATTTGTTTTAACATACCGGTATATCAAATGGAAATTCTTTCTGCTGGAGTAATTTAACGGGTTCATAATGTTTCTCCATACAGTTTTGATGGCAGAGTAGTGGCAAAGCTACCGTTTGTTCCTCACTCATGGCTTCAAGGATTATCTCACCGGAATTTGATGGGTACAGATTTCACTGACTGCTCCTTTATTTTCCTCTACATTCTCTGTACCATGTCTGTTAGACAGGTATGTGAACTGTGTTTTTATCTAAAGCATCACTTCATATGATCAAATAAAAATATGGGGCTGTCACTAAGGGCCAGGGGGCCAAGGATTTACCCCGGCTACTTTCAAGTGCAAATTCAAGTTCAAATTCAGTGTATTCACACATATTCAAAAAATTTACACCTAATTATACATGTACAATAATAATAGGATCTCAAGAAAGGGAAATCAGAGCTAGTATACAATATAAAATATTACATTGGAAAAGTGTGTAGTGGCCAAAGGGGAACAGCTTTCGAGTTGGCTACTACTATAGTGCAGTTACTAATAGCAGGGGTTTCATTTGCAAAACTAATTAGTTAGACATTGGCGGCGTCCACCGCCTATTGCATGTTCACATAAACCAAAGAGGAAACAAAAGATAAAGAACCAAAGGAACTTGCTAGCCATTCAATACACTGCCTGCTACGTAATTGGATAATTATACCCAGCAACTTGAAATCTTAGTGACAACCCTGACAATATCACTTAATTCTGTCCAAATTGTAGATACTGTATTTATGTGAATAAGTGCCCAACCTCGAATTAGTGCCCATCCCAAATAAGCGCCCATCCTAAAGGCAGAAAAAGTTAATAAGCGCCCAGCCTCGAATAAGCGCCCACCCCCTCCCAATCAAACTCAAATAAGCAGTCACCCCCATCCCACCCACTTGAGTGAATAAATATTGATAAGAGACTTGTCCGAGGACGGAGATTTCGTCAGAGTATTTTACAGAAATCTTGCCTTGTTCCTTCTTCGCGTTTTGTTATTAGCATTTATTGCTTTGTTGCAAAATAAACATACTTCACTTGCTGAAAATGGTGAAAATTTAATAAGCGCCCAACCTCCAATAAGCGCCCACTCTCAAGGTCTAAAAAGTTAATAAGCGCCCAGGGCTGTTAATCGAATAAATACGGTACATGTAATAGCCGGTAATAGCCTTGTTTTCATTATAATACCAACATCAACATTATAGGTAGCCTTCCCCATCATGATGGATGAGCCCGACGATCATAGAAGATCTATTCCCACAGCAAAATTAAGGAAAATAGGTCTCAAAATGGTTGCTTAACTATCGCAATCAAAATTATTCTTGAGGTGCACGTAATATCTCAAAGCTTACAGAGTAATACCTAAACACCCAAACTGGAAAAGAGGCAAAATTAATATTAAAAATAACATAGCATAAATAGTATTTCATGCACTTTATACAGTGTACATGTTCATCTCGCATGAACTTTAATAAGGAAGACGAAAAACACCAAGTAATGAAAAATCTATGCTCCAGGACAGCAGGCGAAATTGGCGACTTTTGCAGCAAATTATTTTAATCACCTGCACTAAACTGTACATATATACTGTATAGAGAGAACCTGTATAGCTGGTTTCCAGCAATGTGATAAGGCAGCCATGCTGCTGGCAGGGTTAAAAATAACGGCCGGTCAATGGACAATGTCTGGCCAAGATGACCAGTTTTGACTGGACAAACTTTCGGTTTCCTGGTTGTTTTGACCAAGCACGTAAATACTCGTAACCGACCTGAAATAAAAACAATACAGTCATTTTCACACCATTACGTTTCAAGAGGACGAGCATCTTTTGTCACTATATTTTTTTGCTTGGTAGGCTAATACGTTCAAGTTTAATCTGTACACACTGTAAGTTAAACAGTTTGACTGGTCAGAGAAGAACCTTGATCGAGCTCAATTTCTTTGGCCGGTCAACACGACCGACAACAGTCCCAGTTCTTGCACTCCGAAATGTCTGCTCCGAAAAAGCTGTAGACCAGTTATTAGGGGAACCTGTATCCATTGGACAGTTGGAAAAGTCCTGGAATTTATTTCCCTTAATGGTCAACCAACATGATGGTCTTACTTGTAAATGCTCTTTTTACTATTATTTTTTTCTTTTGGCACAGAAGAGGTAGAAAATACATTATACTTCTTCACGTCACTGTCTTTTTTTTCTAGATCTGTGTTTAAATTCTTAAACCTGTCAACTTGTAAAGTTAAGGCTAACTCACAGTGGTCATTCCTTGTGTGACACAGATCAGTGTAAATCACTGACCCTCTGGTAACAAGTCGTCGTCAAAACTTACATGCAATACGTGCATGTAGCAAAATGTCATGTTTTATCACTGCTAGTATTTATCCTGAAATAAATATTTAGTTATTAGAAGTTAAATGTATTTCAAAAGAGAGACGGATAACAAAATGTTGTCTTATGTTTTTGTTCCACAGAATATTCAGAAGATGTTAGGTTTTGCACCTTCCAGAGCAGCAAGCAAGGTTGGCGGTCTTCTTGCTCCACCTCAAGGAGCTAAATAAACTGGAAAGGAAAGATATCGTGCTGTCATTACCAGCAGCCAGCTGCTCATAATATGCTGTTAGAGCGGTTTTCATTTGAGTGTCGAAAAGTAATTGGTTTTGCCCTTTCTACACGATGCGATTGGCTTAAAAGATTCGCGCCACCTTTTCATCCAATCAGAAGTAAGACCAAAGCCAATTGTGACGCGCTTGCATGCATTTTCCCGTGCTTTGCGTCAGCCACATGTAATTACTTCGAGCTTTGATTGGTTCAATGTATTGTCTGTGTCCTATGTGATTGGCCAGAGTAATTACTTTGGTTTTGGTTTTACGACACTCAAACGAAAACCACTCTATTGATTTGTTCTTTAAAATTCAGTTGACTGCTGTACGATTTCAAGAGAGGATAAAGCTGATGACGATTTACAGTGGCATTCCATCAGTGACATATCTTTAGGCTTTGCTTCTGGAAATCAATAGTAAGAGTTAACCCTTTCACTTCTAAGGGAGTTCGCCACAAGAGGGACAAACTTTCTCCTGTAGAGTTCTCTTATGAATATGCACGCAAAAGAAATGTCCAGCTACTATGTTCCATCATCATTTACCTTAGCTATTTTCACATTATACCGGATACATACAGCTCTTGCGCCGACACGAAAACCATACATAAGAAATGTGATTGCTGTGCGGTTTCTATAACTGACCGAAGATTCTGTCCACACTCTTAGTTCAGTTGGGGCAGTGTGAATTGTATGAACAGGTACCGCTCGGACCGAAGCGGAAGTGAATAAATACGATCCACTGAGACGGAAATAAATATCCAGCAGTGGCATTTAGTTCACCATACCCTCTCGGCCAACCGCCTTCGGCCGGCCGGCCGGCTGGCACCATGTTCGATGTGTGTGAAGGTTGCTATACGGTATAGTGCCAGGGACATGTAGCCTTAACACAGACCTGTTTTTTCTCCTTACATGTGTCATCATACTAAGTATTTTGTGTATTAGTTATAAGATATAATATTAGCATAAAAAGAACGTTCTCTAAAAATTAGAACCAGAAAATAAACTCTTGATACGAAATTAATAGTTAACTTCATTCTCTTTGATAATTTTGATTAGGGAGTTTTAGCAACGACCTAGTGACGGCAACAGGAACGGTAAAAGTGCAAAAGATTTATTTATTTTACAACTTTGCACGTGCATCAATTTTTTTTTGTACCTGTTTTCGCTGTCACAGCGCGACTACAACTACCCTGGTTACCAGAGGTCTTTCTCGCGTGCGGCGGGAATTTTCGGTGTTGGCCGAAGGTCGAAGCCACGAGCAGCGAAGCCGCGAGAAAAAACTTTTCGCGCGGGTCACTGTATAGGCTTGACAGAAACCGGAAACCGCGCTAGAAAAGCGTCTGGCACCCAGGGTAGACTACAACGTGAAAGTGCCTAATTTCTCTTTTTATGGAAGACGCAAACAAGCGACGACGCATTTCTTTCTAAGGAAACAACTCTAGCTAGCGGTTGTACGTTTGTCTCAAGGTTCGTATCTTAGTTGAATGATGTATTTTGTTTCTTCCCAAACATACCCCTCGTGCTGAAACGTAGCCTGTAAACAGATGCTGTTTTATTTTTCTTTTCGTTCTTTTCAAAAAGATCGGCGAGCTCACGAGCGAAGCGAGCGCGTGTGAACGAGCGCGGAGCGCGAGAAAGAAAAATAAAGACTACACCCTTGCGCTGGAGGTCAATAAATCCCCTGCAGGTTATGGAGAAAATAGAGAGTCTGTGAACAGGCTGGCGGAAACGGTTCTTGTAGTTGTTATGTAGACAGTGTGATCAACGTAGTGTAGCGCTGCCTCTGTGAGATTAAAACACGAAAGCCCGGGGTCTTCTTCTTCCCTGTCGCCGCCGTATCGGAAACCGAGAAGATCCTGAGCGCCGGTTGGAGTAAATTCGAGGACGCGCGCGCGCTCACGAGGGAAGAATTATTGCAATGTAAACAAAACCTTGCTCATAAACATGCAACTGAAAAAAAAAATTGACGTAGTGGGAGAAAGGCCTGCTACAAAGTATATCCAAATTAGCTGAAAAATTACACCGCCTTAAATTACTCCTCATATTTTCTGAAACTTGCCAAAAGGATAATGATGCGAACTATTTGATTTTCCAACCTAAATATCCGGTTTTCCCACGTAAATGGCAAGAACCGTACATTTTCTCTCCCCTACGCGTGTTCCCCTTGCGTGCTTCGCGCGCCCTATAACAAGTTAAACTGAAAAAAACAACAGCAAACGAACAACAAAACTGATCAAAGTGTATTTGCTTGATATTTCAGTTTGAAAGCAAACGTTTTAGGGGGCTTGGTGGAGGGCTTAGCACCAGAATATATACAAAAAAGGAGTGGAAAAGTTAATATTTTACTAAATAATACGAGTCTCGAAATTGTTTGCCCAAGTCCGGACTACTTTCCAACCAAAAGTTAACCTTTTATCCGGTGGACTCCGGGATCGGTCGAACATCCATGATGTTCTCTGGAAGGTTGGTCCACTATCCTTACATCATAGCTGGAGCTATATTTGTCTGTCATCATTTCCAAAGCATTTCTGTCCTATACTCATGTATACTGTTTGCATGGTTAACTCGAGAAAGAAACTCATATCATTGGATGTTGTCTGGTGTCGGCGAGCTATAAATAGGAAAAATGTCGACCACCCACGCAAACGAAGTAAACAGTGACCAAAATTTGCGTATATTTTAGGAAGAATTTATATGTAAACTCAGTTAAAAGTGTAGACAATATTAGTTAATGTAGTTCTCAGCAAAGAGATACCGTACACCCAGATCTTTTTAAGTAGGCCATTAAATCAAGGAGGGAATGATGATCACGCATGTTTCTGGCTTGTGCCCACAGGCCTTTTTTATACACCAATGAAAACATAGAGGCACCCCACGACTTTTTTCAGTAAAATAAATCCTTGCATAGAAATTTCTAAAGCTCAAGAAAGGCTAATAAGATATTCGGAGTTTCATTAACTTACTCACAACTTATTTTCTGAGGCTGCGTTTTTCACATTTTCGGTTTAAAGAAAAACCTCCTTGCGCTGGAACGTTCGACTGAACCTCTGATCATAGCAACGGTTTCGTATGTGACGAAAGAGCCACAAGTTCAACTTTCGAGACGAGCCACCGAGAACCTCTAAGACATCCAAACAGCCGAGTAAACAGTTTTTAGAGCATGCGGGAGACTCTTCTGACGCTAGTTTGGAAACAATTGATGTCTTTGATGCCTCGGTGCATTTGTACATTTGTCTGCGGTTAATACTCAGGGGCGTAGCCAGGATTTTTCCGTAGGTACGCACAGTTTTCCATCTCACCTCTTCACCCCCGCCCCCCCCCAAAAAAAGATCAAAGTCATTTTCGATTCACGTGTCTTTTATTTCAAATCGCGTGCGCAAGAGTCTTAATTGAATGCAGATTAACCTATTTTTCTGTCTTCTTTTTCTTTGAGTGAGCATGTGCGAGCGGCATTGTTTAAGCTGTGAGAGCACTACATTCTGTTCTAGTCCGTTCGCATCCATATATGTTACATACTACAAAAAACAACAATGCGTACATGGCTTCATAACGCCTACTGACAAGAA